GTCATCATTGATAGCTAACTCGCGCTATGACGCAGTTCCTTTCTAAGTCGAATCCTGAAGGTAAGCGATCCGTGCTCACTTCAATTGAACGCTTTATTTCGATGTTCCATGTGCATGTTGACGCATGAAATCGACGATCCCCACGTACATGACAGTAGTGGACTGATCCATTATTAGCCGTCAGTGGCGGGGATTGGACAAGAAAGATCCGTTATTTAAGCGGTGCTCACTTGCGCACTCGTAGCTCGCCAGTGCGTCCAGTCCCATATTTTTCCTTCTAATCTACAGCAACAGATAAAATCGCCAACGTATCAGTCTTCTAAACAAAAGAACAGTGAAAATTGCGCAAGGTACTGGGTATTTAAGTAGCTCTATCGAGTTTTTTGAGCCTAGAGATGTGGCAGATGCACCGAAAGGAAACCTATCATTAATCTGCCCTGTAACACACAGAAGGTATCAAAGTAGCTTCATATTTCTAAAATAGCCTCATTCATGGCTCTTGATTATAAAATACGCTGAACTTTCTCCAATGTTCATCAGTCATTATTATACTAACCATTTAAACAAAATTATACAACACTTATTTCCCGACACGCAGTACACGACAAATATTTAAGCCTTTAGATGTAGACAGTTTTTAGAAACGTTATGAGTTACGCATATATTTTTCCTCGTTCCCAGTAGGACCAATAATAACAACATGGGTTGGAGCTAACGTGCAGTTACCTCAAATTTTTATACACCGCTTCATTCCTACGAATTGATTCCCCATTTTTTCTACTGGAACTAACACCCCGAGCGGTTCATTGCTATCAGGGGTTCGCCTGCGACAAAAGTCCTGCTAATAGTACTGCTATAGTACTTCTGTGTCACAATGTACTTGTTGTTGAAAACCGTGGCGGTAACAATGCTGGTATTTTTCGTTGTGTTAGCTGTTGCTTGTCGGTTTCTTTCGTAAAACGAGATTGACACGCGATGCTATCGTACTCTCGCACTGTCCTACCCAAGCATTTCCCATGTAGACCAACGCGAAAGCGGTCGTGCAGTAGAAAAGTGAGTTGAGCTTATGGTAACACCTTGTTGTAGCGATGCAGCCGCGGGCAGCAATTGTCGCAATAGTTAGAGGAGGTAGTTAGCGTTACTTTTTTATTTGTTCGTTGCAAGCGCGGGGCTTGCCAGCTGTGCCGCGGCCCATCAACGAGTTAGCATAACCTGCATGTCCCCTGGGTGGCAAACAGGGGAAAGAGCAGTGAGTTTCGAGTTTGTTGCCAAGATAAGCTCCTCGGCTTGCTGCATGCTCATCTTGTAGGATTCGTGTGCTTCGGTAGGACCAATGCATCATAGCCCATAGACACGTTTACTATGAGCAGAAATTTGCCGCAAGGGACAGGCAGTAGAATGAAAAGTCAGATGACACTGTACTTACTGGAAGTAACGATAGCTCCGTTTGCGGAAGTAGGGAAGAAAAAGAGAAAGAATTGAGGCTTGGAAAGAGGATAACAGTGAGGAATCTAGTAACAATATTCTAGTATCGATTTCTTCCAGCTCATCGATCCCGTGGCCATTAAGGCGAAATTTTACTGCTAACGCTAGTGGGACGAGTTAGGTTTGAAACCTGGTGGGGACGTTCTGACAAATAAGGACGCCTAGCCATTCTCAAGTATAACTCACTGTGAATTTGTGTTGAGACCGTCGAAGTAACCAAATATAATAATAAATAGCATAAAAGGGCGTACAATGTACACTCAATGTAGTACCGTATACTACTATACGAGTAATTAATTAATGCCCATTTCTCACGCAGGTTTGTGTCAGAGTATACTCGAGGTAGCAAGCGTCTACGTACACAGCCAGAATTGATTGAGGAATATTTTATAAGCATATACAGTACATACGTAGACATACACAGATGGTTTGGATGCATATTTTAGATATTTTGTCGCTGAAACGTTATAGCGTGATCATATTCACGTTTATCTTGTGTTTGTACCATTCGCTGTAATAGCGCGGTACATGGCAAGCAGAGCCATTGGCTGTGTGAGCATCTACTATCCCCTTCAACGTACCTTCGCACTGTGGACAACATGGGTACGTAAGTGGAATACAGAGCTAAGAAATAGTGCTCCCTGGTTTCATAGACGTATATTTAAAGCAGCGATAAGATATACATATCCGTTTCGCTTTAGTCTTTGGCCATCTGTTTGTCCTGTAACCTTTGAAGGGAACATACAAAGGAAAGAAGGGTAAAAGAAAGATTGTAGTAGGATGATACTTGCACTTGAAATATACATGTCTAATATTAGTGAATATAGGAAGGCTTATGATTCAAGCAGAATTTACTTGCAGAAAATACTAACATACATTGTTTATTGAACAGAAACATGTTTCCTATGATCTCAAATATTATACCTCACAGACCTACTTTTGCCTTTATCGTCCGTAAGCACGACTTATGTAAAGTCTTCAAAAATTACCAACCAGGGATTGTGTGACGATCATAATTGTCATTGGCAGAAATCAGAAACGATGTTGTACTGCATCGTACCGCCTTGTGCAGTCTGGTCTGGTTTAGCCACACGAAATATGTACTCACGTGCACACTTACATGCCGTGATACGTATATGTTTGTCGTTGTTTATGGAGAACAACACGTAGACAGGGGCGGACCATTGCATCGAACCTCTGGACTGTCGATGTCTTGACTTCTAGTCGGTCCGACACCGCTGATAGCACTCTATTAGGATTATCGCTGCGGCACAGTTTTGATACTGCCAACGTGAACCTTCACAGCCAAACATCGCCCAACATCTCGCCTATCACATAGCGATTGCCACGAGCAACAATAGTTGTATCAACATCAGCCAGCGCGACAACGTCGTCATTGCAAGCATTGTTTTCACTGGCCGCCATCATCTCGCTGGATTATGTGTGTCCCCATTAAAAGCTTCCGTGTGTCCGACTAGAAAGAACAGCAGCATAAACAGCAATCGGCCGACTTGTCTTTCATCCTCTCCGTATCACAGCGTCTATCCGCTTGGCCACCGCTATGCCAGCCAATCCAAGTCAAACTGAGCTGGTGAACTCCTTCAAATTCGAGCATTGGTTATAATGTTGATTCTGAAGATGATGATGTGATGACAACGTCTACTCGCAGTTATCATCTTCATTCCCGCGGTAAAGGCAGTTTTCCAATAGCGCTCGTCTACTACGACTGCGTACCAACTGTATATATGCTGGTTGTACTGCACCCACTGAAAGAAAGCGACGCGTTCAACATCATCGGCGGCGCTATGGCTGCCAGATAACGGTCAAATGGACGAACCGTCCATACCTAAATACATGTACTGCAATAATATATTTTGTTGGCGCGAAGGTGAGTAAATATGTGATACTGCTGCAGTAGTTTGCTCGTGTCATTACGTTATATTTTCCGTATATATTATATATACATTTATATATGGTAGTATTGTGTTACGAAATATATACAGTAACACAAGTTTTGATGTAACTAACCGGGAAATATCCCAAAGATTTAAAAAATTTCATTGTCCTGTCTGTTTGAGAAGCAGAATGTCGATCCTGAATACTCACAATTTCCACAAATGAGATGTTTTGTAGGACACTTGTTTGTAATCACCAAACGCAGTCATGTTGCTCACATTCTAGTCTTCTGTTCGACCGCTAAGAATGAAAAAACGGTGATCTTAACTTTGTTTCAACGCCAATGCAGAGAGCCCCTTAAAGCTGTTCGAATCGAGTACTACTAACGGCTCCACTGAAATTCCAGTGCGCAAAGGTATCTCATACGAAATGGCTTTTTCTTTTGAAAGTAATAGTAAATTCGATTATATAGAAGGTGCTGCAAGTTTTCTTATGCTTTTTCGAATCCGCTCAGTATTGCTATGCTATAATCTTAGATGTGCTATATACTTCTGAAAAATTCATTGCGGAACCTTCGTTGACCATTTATGTTAACGTATTTGTATATTAACTTTAACCTATACAACAACTTAAACTAATATTTAATGTTCTCCTAAAAAATACGATGCCGTTTCAAACCTAGCTTATGTTCCCAGGCGACGGGAATTTAACTAAGCTTAGTTGAAGCTATATGAGACGAGAGTTCGCATTTCTAATGCTATGCATCTTTTGTCTCCTCTATACCAGTTCATGTACCTAATCGCATAGGACCGCGTTGTTAGTCCTATTTGCGTCCGTTATTAATTTGTAATTATCACATAAAGAAGAGCGTCGTAAGTGCCATACCGCAGGTAGCCTGTCACCACTGAGATATTCGTTAATTCTCGAAGAGGGATCGTTTACAATAAGGCTGATAGCGTCAGACAGCGCTGGTTAATGTCATATAAAAATGGTCGAATGTCGAGGGTGAATAAAAAGAATATCAGTCAAGAAAGGAATACGGCAGCCTAGATCCAATGAAAACTCGTCAGGGACCAAATACTTGGTAAGAACTGCCGAAGAGCTGGGAGTGAAGTATCATATTGCCAATATAGAAGTATTTTCCCCCCTCAAACATTAAAGGTTGAATACGGACTGAAATGGGGACGAAAACTGGCAGTATCTGTGTGCTTGTATATGAAGACAGAAATCTATAGCGATAAAAGGGCAGCTTTATTCGGACATAACAATTTAATAATCTTAACTCTGCGTCTTGCGGGGCAAATTCTGCTTGCAAAGTATATATGCATAGGTCTGCAGAATTTATTCAATTTTTGTACATAATAGCATACTCACACGCATTCATTCATTGTGAGATCACCCACTGAACCATAGGCAGTTGGTCATTTATATATATATATATATATATATATATATATATATATATATATATATATATATATATATACGTATATATGGCTAGCCCGAATTGAAACGCTTTTCGGCCGGTTTTGAAACGAGCAAATATTCTCCATATGCACGAGGGAACTAAGCATTGTGTGTGTTGATTACGCGATAAGCTAACGGAACGTCGAACCTATGTGGCCGGAATCGTTATCGAGTCGCAAATACCACGAGCTTAATTAGGTTAGGTCGATTTTCCTACCAGATTTCTGTTAATGGAATGACTGAGGCTGCCTCTTCTGCCTGAACAAAAGGTGTAACAAGAGTATTTTGCAGAAGGAGCGTTACTGTTACGCTTCATAGATAAGAATACATAGCTGTTCATAATTACCATGATAATGGTAATTAATTTTATTTCTAACACAAGTGAAAATCGAGTCTAGTCTCCTACCATTAATTTACTGAAATATTGTAAGGAAAACTAGATTTACGCCCAAAAACAGCTGCAGCGCAAGGTGCATCATTCGTTGATATGTGTTCTTTTTTGTTTAACAAGCATATGTTATCGGTCATTACCAAAGAACATACATTTGCACACCCTCAAGAAACAACAGCAAGTCTTACAGATTTTGTGCTTTATTGTCCAAAACAAGGGTCCATCAAAATGCGTCACAACGAAAAAATTGACGAAGTTCAAGAACAGAGAAGGACGAGCCAACAGGCTCAGCTACTAAGGTACGTCAGAGCAGAGTAAGGACGCTTAGTGATTTCTGCACGCTGCCGAGATGAATAAAAAGCGAAATTTTCATTCTTTCCAACTTAAATTCTGCCATAAAAATAGTGGCTTCTCTGGTGATTTGAGTGACGCAGTGGCAATAGGAAGTGCTTTCTACATGAACAAAACGTTTTCTGTTAATCCAATTCGGACCAAAGTAGGGAGGTTCCGCTGGAGATTAGATTTTTTATTTTTTTTAATGGTATCAAGCCTTTCGGTTGTCGCTTCCTCAATGTACGGATCAAGGCTAAAGGAATATTTATCAAGAGGTCGCTGATGCGTCTCATTTACGATCTGAATGTCCAATCCTCACTTTACATTAATCGTAACTGCAATTTTCTTCTGTAAGTTGCAAGTAAAAACGCGACAAGTCTGTAAAACAAGCTGAAGTTTCGAGATTCTGTAATGGCTAATAGCCAGTTGTACTTTTTAGAAAAATCATCGCTCGGAATAAAATCGTCGCAAACTGTTCATTCGCCAACGGCTGGGTGGCTCTATTTTGCTTAGCCATTGACAACAGAATTAATAAATCCTATTTGGTATTCTAGCCTCGACGTTTAATCTCAAAAAACTCATCCAATAAAGTAGCAAGTTACCGGTTACTACTAAAGATGAAATTATGTATTTCTACTATGCAGCTCAGCTGCTGTAACCCCAAATATCTTATAATTTGAATGTTTCTTTTTCAGATCTCCTTTTTTAACAATCTTGTGCTTCAACACGGTGATGTTTTCCGGAAAGCTCGTTTTATATACGTTTTATATAAGCATGATAATGCTGCTTGGAGATAATGTCATACAAAGCTCATAATAACAAGTAAGTAAACTTCCTCTTGTTTTCTCATGATAGTAGACTCTCTACGCGTGCGACCTTTTTGTTCGAGTTTTTGGTCGACACTTTTCACTGGCGCAGCGTGATTTTTCGAACACCGAATTTGTCAAGCCCTTCGTTCAATGGCACGACTTCGCTCTGGTTAACCAAGAAAAGAGAATAGGAGAGATCCTCTTCTGCTGATTGGAAATGAAGAAGGTTTCAAATGATTTAAAAAAAAAGATTTTAAATTTCACGTCAGAAAACGAACGTTGTTCGTCTGCTTTGCGACAGTAACTTCAAATGGAGGAAACTCAATATCAAACAAAAGCAAACAGTAAGTACATGGCGTGGGTGTCGTGGCAAACACACAATCGTATATCTGTCCTTAATAATGTTGTAAGCTGACATCTTCTCTGGAAGTCAATACGTGACTGTAACCGCAAACATGGGCTGTTCTGTTTATAACATGGCCGGATCTATTTTATGAGCGTAAATCTTCAGCTGGATTGAGAACACCATTTTTCATTATAGGTAAAGAGCGGAAAGGAGAACTTCAATGAAAGTGCCTATTGACTTTTTTATTCAACTGATAGAAGGTCTATAAAGCCAACGTGTCCCCAAAAGACATACCCTGGAACAGAGTTGGATAGGATAGCCGTAATGCAAAACCAACCATTGCTTGAAAGACAGTAGGATCAGTGTACGTTTCGGTTGAATCAGTCATTTGAAAATTCTTTTGCTCGTGGCTCGTTCATGCTCGAAACCAAACCTTCGTGTCCAGATGCATATATCTAGAAGTAACAGCCTGGATGACAAACAAAAGTCCAAGTTTCATACTAATATTGCAAACTTCTGATAAATTTAAAGATACTGTAAGCCAACAGTTTATTAACATACAAACAAATCACGCCCTTTTGTATGAAAAAAAAAACACTGAAAAAACAATCGATAATAACTCAACAGAAGATCTGATTTATACTATAACACCCCGTGATGATAAGAAGTCATCTTCTTCAATTTCAGTTTCAGAGCCCAACCAATTCCAAAATTTGAACCACAATAAATGCACAGAGCAGATAGATATTACTGACTGACTTTTTTTTACCGGAGAGAAGCTTATTCAATAACAGGCGACCTTTCTCTATTTTGCAACATGTCGGGATGCTCAATTAGGCTACTTCGCATCTACGACTAGATACCGCTTCACAAGCTAGATGTTTACGTTCACTCCTGTTCTTCGGACCCATTGTGAGCTCAGCCAACACGAAGCTGTCTTGCCTTTTCTTCAGATTTTCACTTATGGTATGTTGTTGTATCCAATGGCAAAAAAAAGCAGCACTAATAACCTTGACAAGAACACCAAACGGCTGCGCAACAAATCAACGTCGTCTTCTGGTTTCGAGGCCTGAGAGTGGCCTTGAGGAGGCGCAAAGGGCAAACTATCCGGATTTCGGACCTCCGAAAGGGCAACCATGGACATCCACCCTGCAATCTACTGTTTCTTTAACCCCGTACCGATGTAAAAACAAGCCAACATCCAATGTAATCTCGACAACTACATCATACAGTAGTCGATACAATAGGTCTGGTTTAATACATCCTAAACGATAAGACCACTATCGTTCCGACGCATGAAGCTTTCATGTTAATATTTTTTGAGACCGGCATTCAACCACCGTGAAATCAAGATGTCGATCTCTGCTCCCACATGTGAAGAAAAATACGACAAAGAAAGCGCTCCGAGCCATAATGAAACATAACAAAAATATTCAGTAAAACGAATTGTCTGGAACGGCATTTCAGCAAGACAAAGCAAACGACAAATTTCACGCAAAAACAAAGACCAAGGCCAAAATATAAACATAACGTATCGTCCTCGTCTACGACGTACCAGTCGGTATGATTCTGGTAAAAACAATAATTTTTACCTAGAGAAAAGTATACACACTATTTTTTCTTGATGTAAAGACATTAATAATAAATATTTCAGGATCTGCTTGTTCAGAATCAGGGTCTTTTTCCCTGAGCTTGAAAAACTACAGTCGTTTCATTCTATCTTACTCTACTATTCGCATCCTTCCCCCGTTTTATTTTTCTAGTAGATTTAGGAAAGTCGAGAATCTGCTCAAATTGGAACAGAAATGGAGAAAACGCACAACTACCTGTCCTGTTTTCTAAGGTGAATAAATTGCTACTACCGGAGAACCTTACTGACAATGCTACCAACAACTGTTCTTCTGGAAGAACTGGACACGACGCTAATAACCAATTATCAGCTTCCTCTGAACGTCGCCATCCCTTCCAGCCTTCCTATCTTATCGTTTACATGGTAGGAGATAATTTTAGGCTGCTGCTTCTACAAATGGACGGGATGCGAAAATTGCGATGCCACAGTCCTCTGACAACAACAACAACAATAAAGCCCATTTCGCCCTGCAATACAGACGACAGTGAAGATCATCAACACGAACAGCCCGCGAAAAGAGTGAGTTACTGCAACTGTATAGTAAATCCTTTTTGCCCTCAGAAGCTGCCTGTCTCGTCAAGCCGGTTTCGCCACTGCATCTCAGTTTATTGCAGCGAGATGAACAGGATCTGCATTGGCGCGGCAGTGCAGTGCATGTGGTGACACTGCACATATGCTAGTGGAACGCAACTATACGTCGCCGCCCCAAATGCCTGGTAGGAGCAAAATCATCTTCAACAAGAAGCCCGCGGTCGCCAGACAAACCAACGCCAACAGCAAAAGGAGTAGCAGCCATGTACCGCTCCACAAAGACGGCGCCGCGAGCAGCGATTAGTCAATAGAACATTGGTTTAACGGCGGCCGTCATGGGAGTGCAAAACAACAAATGATCTGCTCTGTGCACTACAGGCGTGTCTTCTAGCTGAGAATAATCTTTCTTCTTGAAAAGTGAATATGCTATGCGCTGCCGATTCCTTCCTCACTTCGTCGGGTTCGATAACCTGTGGAGGTATGTAGGTATTATAGCGCTCATCTGGAAAATGGACAAAGTTTTTTTGATAAGAGAAGAGAGCTAGCAGGCTGCACTGTACAGAGTCCATAAAGCATCAAAACATATCGAGAAACGTTACAATAACGGAGGTCCACATCGTAACGGTTTAACGGTGGCTTTCAAGCAAGACCTTAAATAAATTGGTTGATTAAGCGTAGCTGTACAATTGAGCAGACAATAGTACATCTACAGATAAAGATATTACAGTAACTTTGTATTAGAATTTTAGTACTTAATACTGGACAATGTTGGTTTTAATAACAACAGAAATCGACAAAAAATTAGAAACCTGAAAGTTTCTAATTTGATTTTACCACCTTTGGTTAAAGAAAATAGATGTGCTTCTGAGCATTCTTAGAGATATTCCTACTTTGCGTGTCTTATTTTAGAAGTTTCCAATGTCCATGTACACAACTTTTTCAGGCACACGTTTATCACATTCGAAAGGATTTATCTACACAACACTGACTTTCGAATCTCTTCAAATCCGAATAAGCTTTACTGTATAGTAAAGTATATATATATATATATATATTGGATGATGTAAGGATAATGCGAATCTGCCACCAGACAATTGGTTCTATACTCTACGTAAACGGAAGATTGTTCAGTCCCAAGAAGAAAGGCAATGGGTGAGGCGATCGAAGTTGCCCTTCCTAAACTGAAGTATAACGAAAATCGACTCCCATTACTATACGCGTTTACTAAACAGTAGCGGAAGACTCATAGCCATTCAGGCGAAACAGCCGTTAACTGTTCTAGATAGGTAATTACTATGTTGTAGCGACGAAGCTTTGGCCTTTTCGCAGAATGATTGCTTATCGGCAAAAATAGTGTATCCCTTAAACACGAGGCCTTATCATGTATACGGCCTGAAAGAGTTACTTGACGATCGATAACGATTCGACAAAATGGCGCATGGTGACCTAAACTCAGCCTGGATGAAGGTTTCCGTTATGTAAAGGAAACCGACGTCAGATTGAAGAAACGAAATTACATACGGTAGAAATAAAAGATCACCTCTCACGCCCTATCCATTGCAATTAAAATGGAAAACAGATCACGACTTCAACGCGTAAGTGTAAATCGGAGATGAACAAATAGAAATGATGGCTATATCCGACCTAATCTGAAACCGATTTGCTCCATTGAAAGAACTACTCACCACAATCAATGCTTAGAATAATCTTCTTCTACAGGGTTCTCATGTCGGAACCCAGGTTTATCCTCGATTATCCTCGAACTCGATTATCCTTTTCCAGATCCAGGCTTGGTTTTTAGTCTATCGCGATACTAGCAAACTATGCATGTGTCAAAAGTTCACTGATCTTTATTGAATTTCGACCATGCAACTACGTAAATGGCGTAAAGCCGAAATTAAATTGTTAGCAAGTCTTCAATAAACAACAGTCTCAGCCGACACCGGATTGATGGCTTTCGTTTCGCAACCCTTGCTCGTGTTTAAGGCGGTTGATAACGCACTCATAAAACTGGACGAGGCAAGAATTTACATAATAAAAAAACATCATTTTGGAACTCGAAGCTATACTTATACGCCTGTTTCAATCAATTATAAATAAATAGCCAGGATGATAAAGTGGGCTGATAACGTGCAAAAACCTCGTCTCGTTCCTGAGCCAGCCAGTGTCTTCTGTCTTACAAACCCCATTCAAGTAGAAGTCCGCGTAGTAATCTCACACAGGGCAAACAACGCTCTAGAGGTGGGATAGAAAGATTTTTTTCGCTGCAATCATCTGCAGTAGGATGTTTATCGGCAAGTGCTGTAAAAATGTCACGGCCAATATAGAAAGTTGTTGTTTTCGATTTGTACAAGCCTTTTATGACTAATTACTCGGATTTTTTAATTCTTAAGTTAAACTTACTTCCATTTCATTTTCACCCGTTTATCATTGATCGTAAAAAAGATTGTTATATCGATGCGCTACTCGGTGAAAGCAATAGAAGGTCAATCAGTATTATTCGTTA